ACTAATAACAATATCAACCTCCGAAGGATGTATCAGGTTGGCACTAGGCCCCAAACACGGCATGTAGCCCAATTATCCACCTTATATAATGTGAATCAGTCGCTAACATATAACAATTTATCCCTCGTACTGGGCCACGTCAAAACTCTCAACACATCCGATCCCGCACTAACCATGGAGTACGTGTCTAACATCACAATAGCATCACAACATGATATACCGGGGTTTCGAACCCTCAAGTAATCATCTACAGCCATTACTCACCTCGAACTGGCCGGAAAACTAGCCCGAAATGCCTTTTCCTTTAGAATTCTCCTCCACGAGCGATGAATCTGCCCAAAATCACAACGAATATGTTACGTGATGTTATTGGGACATAACCCAATTGAAAGAACTTAAAAAACATCTCAATTCTCGAAAATCACAAAACCCGAGCCCCGAGCTCACGTCTCAAAATTCAGAAATTTTTACATCACAATGACCCTCGTCTCACCCCGAGTCTATACATACCAATTTCATCAAATTTGGAGTCCATTTGACCCCTCAAATCATCATTTTCATTTCAAGAACCAAACCCTAGTTCTTCCAATTTTTCCACTTCAATTCACAAATTAAATGATGAATTCAATGGTATATTCATGTACTTTAACCAAGTTTGGGTTAGAATCACTTACCCCGATGAATTTCTTGAAATACCTTCGAAAAATCGTCAAAATTCGAGCTCCCACGGGTAAAATACCAAATAAAACTCAAAACCTCGTATTTATAGAAGTACCCCTCGGATTGCTACAGTGATGACCGCATAAAAATGTCATGCGGCCGCATCTAAACAGTGCGGTCCGCCCAAAAATGGCATGCGGCCGCACATATGAGGACTCCCTTGACACCCTTCACCATTTTGGCCATAACTTCTATACAGATGTCCAAATTACGATTTCTTTAGCTTTCTGAGAACTAGACACGAAGGGCTACAACTTTCATTTTTGAATTATCTCAAAATTTCTTATAGATCAAAAGTTATGAGCTTCCGAAGTCGGACAAGTGACCTGTTGATCCCCAGCTCATGCGGCCCGCGTGAAAATGATTGCGGTCCGCGTCAAGGCATTGCGGCCGCGTGGAAATGGATGCGGTCCGCATCCACTGACTGCCACATTCAATTTTCTAAGTTTCGGGGTGTCCGTACTCACCCGATACACCCCCGGGACCTCAACCAAAGACACCAACAAGTCTAAAAACACCTCACGGATTTAATCCGAAGCCTCAAACCACATCAATCATTGCTAAATTCAAGAATCGTCCTCCAAATTCAAACTTGATGAACTTGGAAGTTTCTAACTTCTATTTTCGAGGCCGAAACCTATCAAATCACGTCCGATTGACTTCAAATTTTGCACGCAAGTCCAAAATGACATAACGAAGCTAATTCAACTTTCGGAATTCCATTCCGACCCTCGGATCAATTTCTCACCAATCAACCGGAATTCTCCGAAACTCCAACTTCGCCAAACTTAGCTAATTTTCACTCCGGACCTCCGAATTCACTTCCGTTTCCACTCCTAAGTCATAAATCATCCCCCAAAACTAGTCGAGCCATCGGAAATCCGTTCCGAGCCTCTAACTCACAAGTCAACGTTGGGTCGACTTTTCCAACTTAAGCTTTTCTTTAAGAGACTATTTGTCTCTTTTCTAATAAATTTCCACTCAAACCACTTCAAACTTACCAAACTCATATAATTACACCCGGGTAAACATATAACGGGGATAACGAGGCAGAAGTACCAGAGACGACGTGTCGGGTCGTCACATTCTCCCCAACTTAAACCAACGCTCGTCCTCGAGCGTACCCAGAGCTGTACTAGAAGCAACCCAATAACCAAATGACATTACCGAGTATATGACCGGGGTGATCCCACGTCACCCTATCACCTACAGGAACCAATAACACAACACAACCGAAATTCCACAATCCATACAACTCAGATACCCGCACTCGATCCCATAAGCAACCGTCGTAGTACTATTGATGTATCATTCAGGGAATTGCTCTCTTTCCGATACACCCAAACAATTTCCTTCTCTTTACATTAACCATTCTCTAACCACAACTCAAGACATCTTCTATTGTCTCACATCTACAAAGCACCATGCAACCTTTGGCAAGATTTTGCTTCACTTGAGCCATCCTCGGCTCACTTTCTGCAGCCATAACTGATTCACTCACATGCATCAACTCAGAACTAACATTATGCTTAACCGTATCACCAGCTCGTCAACAACAACCTCCCCAACTTAGCTCGAAGCCATATATATATATTGAAACACACATACTCTATAGCCATCGTATTATCATGGCGAGATTAAACTCACCCTTCATAAGCTTATGGAAACACGGATCATCAGAAATTCTACTCTTCTGCAATTCTTGCATCCAGTCACACAACCGTTAAGTCCACTTATCAAGGCGACAAAATTTTCACTAAGTCCCAGATTTTCCGAAAATTTCGACAGAGTTTCCTTTGTAACTGGGCCTATCCACCTGTCAGAGAACCACCAAAACACCCTAACAACTCGGTCACAATTGAACAAAATATCACAATATATATTAATAACAGGAATCTCAAGGCTACACGAGGTATATTACCAAAATTGATACCTGGACATGCGTTGCACCTGCTTAAATCATAATATCTAGCAGACCTTCCTCGATATTGCCCAGTCATACAGACTCACCACACGGTACCGACATACTTATCATGAAGCTATCCAGCCGCCGTTACCGCAATTGGGGACAATACTGAACTTTAAGCTCATTACGCTAGCTCGCTCAATCAACACTTTAGTACTCAAGCCATAGACAGAGACTCGGCCTCAAGTCCTCCAGACCGGCCCAATATCAACTCATTGAAATCACCCGCCATCAAGACACATATACACTGGGTGCTCATGGGCACATACAAACGAGAGGAAGGAATTTCAAGAGTCATTTCCCAAACTGAATCACGTACGCACGATAAGAGTTCCAAGAACGTGAAGTGTTTCCTAAAGTTCTGTAGCCTCCCGTGGATAAGATACGGACGTCTACGTACCGATCCACAAGACTCTACTAAACCGGCTCATAGTCGTGAGGCCTAGCAACCTAGGCTCTGATACCAAGCTGTCACGACCCAAATCCCGGTCGTAATGGCGCCCGGCCGCAAGGCTAGGCAAGCTCGACCACAACAACTCAACATTGGTATTACACCCAACAGGAAGAGGTTTCCTGACTTAAACAGCAATTGATATATTAATCCGCCCATTCAGGGCCAAGACAGAATAAAAGGCACAGATAATCCTTTCAAAATCCCCAAAATCAAGGGTCACGAGTACTGAGCCTCTACCAATACAGTATACAAATCTGGAAAGTGAAAGATATACTGTCTGAACAGAAAGTAATATAGAATCTGAAATACTGATAGGAGAATAATACGGATCAGAGAAATGGGTCCTGCGGACGCTGGCAGCTACCTCGAATCTCCATCTAGCTGATGATCAACAACAACCGCAATACCATGCCTCAGCAACACCTGAATCTGCGCACAAGGTGCAGGGAGTATGGGGTGAGTCTACCAACTCAGTGAGTAATAAATGTATATAAAAATCTGAAAGCAGTAAAACACAGTAAAACACAGTTGTAAAGCTAACAACACCGCCCCATACTCAGCTATAACCAATAACAACAGTAAGAATTTATCAAGAACTTGCCCCTCGGGCTTAATATCAATCTCACATACAGTACCAGCCACTCGGGCTCATTCCCAACTCATCATCACACGGTACCAGACTCAAGCTCACTCCCAGCTCCTCAGCACACAATATCAGCCACTCAGGCTCACTCCCAACTCACCAGCACACAACCCCCTCTCGGGCCCAGCACTCCTTCAACAAATAACACCAGGGTATCTGGTAAACAGTGCAAGAAGTAGCATGGATGCCCATGATAGGAGTGTTGAATGTCATGTCAACATCTACAAATAAGAACAAATTCATGAGTGCAATGCAATGCATATGATGATACTCTGTAACGTTCCACCGGATCTACCCACAAAGAGCCCACGGCGAACAAGTACAGTCCAAGTCTCACCGGATCTACCCACAAAGGGCCCACGGCGGACGAATACAATCCAAAGTCTCACCGGATCTACCCACATAGGGCCCACGGCGGACAAATAATAATATCAAAGTCTCACCGGATCTACCCACATAGGGCCCACAGCGGACTAATAACAATATCAACCTCCGAAGGATGTATCAGGTTGGCACTAGGCCCCAAACACGGCATATAGCCCAATTATCCACCTTATATAATGTGAATCAGTCGCTAACATATAACAATTTATCCCTCGTACTGGGCCGCGTCAAAACTCTCAACACATCCGACCCCGCACTAACCATGGAGTACGTGTCTAACATCACAATAGCATCACAACGTGATATACCGGGGTTTCGAACCCTCAGGTAATCATCTACACCCATTACTCACCTCGAACTGGCCGGAAAACTAGCCCGAAATGCCTTTTCCTTTAGAATTCTCCTCTACGAGCGACGAATCTGCCCAAAATCACAACAAATATGTTACGTGATGTTAATGGGACATAACCCAATTGAAAGAACTTAAAAAACATCTCAATTCTCGAAAATCACAAAACCCTAGCCCCGGGCCCACGTCTCGAAATTCAGAAATTTTTACATCACAATGACCCTCGTCTCACCCCGAGTCTATACATACCAATTTCATCAAATTCGGAGTCCATTTGACCCCTCAAATCATCATTTTCATTTCAAGAACCAAACCCTAGTTCTTCCAATTTTTCACTTCAATTCACAAATTAAATGATGAATTCAATGGTATATTCATGTACTTTAACCAAGTTTAGGTTAGAATCACTTACCCCGATGAATTTCTTGAAAGACCTTCGAAAAATCGTAAAAATCCGAGCTCCCACGGGTAAAATACCAAATAAAACTCAAAACCTCGTATTTATAGAAGTACCCCTCGGATTGCTACAGTGATGACCGCATAAAAATGTCATGCGGCCGCATCTAAACAGTGCGGTCCGCCCCAAAAAGGCATGCGGCCGCACATATGAGGACTGCCTTGACACCCTTCACAATTTTGGCCATAGCTTTCTCTACAGATGTCCAACTTACCATTTTTTTAGCTTTCTGGAAACTAGACACGAAGGGCTACAACTTTCGTTTTTGAATCATCTCAAAATTTCTTATAGATCAAAAGTTATGAGCTTCCGAAGTCGGACCAGTGATCCTCAGCTCACGCGGCTCGCGTGAAAATGATTGCGGTCCGCGTCCAGGCCTTGCGGCCGCGTGGAAATGGATGCGGTCCGCATCCACTGACTGCCACATTCAATTTTCTAAGTTTCGGGGTGTCCGTACTCACCCGATACACCCCCGGGACCCCCGGGACCTCAACCAAAGGCACCAACAAGTCTAAAAACACCTCACGGATTTAATCGAGGCCTCAAACCACATCAATCATCGCTAAATTCAAGAATCGTCCTCCAAATTCAAACTTGATGAACTTGGAAGTTTCTAACTTCTATTTTCGAGGCCGAAACCTATCAAATCACGTCCGATTGACTTCAAATTTTGCACGCAAGTCCAAAATGACATAACGAAGCTAATTCAACTTTCAGAATTCCATTCCGACCCTCAAATCAATTTCTCACCTATCAACGGAATTCTCCGAAACTCCAACTTCACCAAACTTAGCTAATTTTCACTCCGAACCTCCGAATTCACTTCCGTTTCCACTCCTAAGTCATAAATCATCCCCCAAAACTAGTCGAGCCATCGGAAATCCGTTCCGAGCCCTCTAACTCACAAGTCAACGTTGGGTCGACTTTTCCAACTTAAGCTTTTCTTTAAGAGACTATTTGTCTCTTTTCTAACAAATTTCCACTCAAACCACTTCAAACTTACCAAACTCATATAATTACACCCGGGTAAACATATAATGGGAATAACGGGGCAGAAGTACCAGAGACGACGGGTCGGGTCGTCACAGTTATAGACTCTGGATAGATACATGAAAGATTAGGAAAATGACACAGTTCCAGAAATACATGAAAGATTAGCAAGCTTACTTAAGTAACTCCTTGTCATCGGAACAACAGCTTCATGGTAGGACTTCTCAAAACCTAAACTCGCCAGGCGAGCAACAGCACCAAGGAGCTGCAGCAGCTCAACAAAAACAAGTTGAAAGACTCAGAGAGTGATTCAATTAGCTCACTTCACAGAGTAAAGGGTTCATAACTTGAGTAAATGAAGCAAAGATACAAGTGCAGTTTCTGATAAAAAGAGAGTTTCATACTCGGAGTCTCAATAAGCCTGGTACTGATGTATCACCCTCCTCTAAACTTTCAATGAAGAAAGGCAATATCACATCCACAACTTCAGGCCTCTTAACTGAAAATTTGAGATCAACTAGTACAGAGGCGGATCCAGGATTTGAGACTTGTGGGTTCCTGCCAAAATTTTAACAAAATTTTAAATTAATATGCAATAGTTACTGGGTTCCCAGTTAAATATTTACCCATATTTAGTAAATTTTTTAATAGAAATACAGGGTTTACGTAAAAGCTACTGGGTTCCCGGGAACCCAGTAGCTCTTCTCTGCATCCGCCTCTGCTAGTAACCTTATAAAGTTCAACTGCAGGGAAGGAGCTGCCTGCTTTTCTTTCTCTACCTAGAAATGTAAGTATTTATAGATAATATTAACAAAAAGAAGACATAAAGAAACACTAAAAGAAATTAAGCAATATGTCCCTTTCGAGAAATGCAAATACATATGAGCCTCTTAGGTGGCCTGCTACCAAATCTGTAAGATACCCCACCTTGGAATAAACATATAAGATTCTACTTTGTCACAGGCCAATCAGAAAGATGCTTGTTTATTGGCACAAGTATGCATTAGCCAATCAAATAGTGGATTTTAAACCTCTACTTGCAGAAGCTTAGGCAATTTCAAACCTCTAATTGAGTTATAGGTATTTCAAGCAAAGTCTAAAGCAAAACAAACAAAATTTGTAGTAGATTGTTACCTTTCAAGAATAGTATATAAAAGCTTAAATAACCCGTAATTGAAGAAGAACACAAGGAAGCTAGACTCTATTGGAGAAAATAAACAGAGAGTGTGATTGACTCGCATTCAATGACATTATGGCTGTTCTAATTTTAAAAAGAATCAGCATAACCCCTTATCCAATTACAAGCAAAATGGCCTTCATGACTCCAAGGTATCAATGTGAAAAAAGTGGACAGAAAACTATCAACTTGGAAAAGACAGCTTTGTAGAAGGTGAGCGGTATAATCAACAGTCTAAATGATCATAGTGTTTGAAGAAATTAAAAATGTGGTAGAAAGCTCTGTATACCATTTAGAAGACGTGTAGAAGACATGTGCCAATGAACGTGGTGGTCGCTACCATGTAGAAGACGTGTGCCAATAAATGTGGTGGTCAAGCAGGACGACCAGCTCCTGCAAAGTAATTGAGGTTATAGACTCCGGATAGATACATGAAAGATTAGGAAGATGACACAGTTCCAGAAATACAATGATTTACCGTGAAAATATTGTGGTATTACTCTAACAGAATTGTGAGTTAAGATTTGATGAACTTTCATTTCAAATATACTGCAACAACTGAAGCCTCTGTACGGTTTACTCACTTGTGCTCCCATTAGTATATTCATTGAGACTCTTCTTGTAGTGAAGAACAGTTGGCCTCTTTTTTGACCCAGGTTGAACAGGTAAGGTGAGACACTGTCTAGAAGGATAATATTTTCTGGCTGTTGAGCTCAGAAGCAAACAATAGTTTAATGATGTCAACTCATAATAAAGCAACTACTGCAAATAAGAAAGTGACCTCAAGAAAAGGCAAACATCAGAGTACATCATTCCACAACCATGATTGTTGCCTCTGATTGACATTGGTTCTAATAACTGCTGCTGGATACCATTTGCAACTACCACTATATTGTTTTTTTCCTGAAGTTTGTTTACTGCTGCAACAAATTGTTTGTCAGTACGTTCTGCTCCAGCTTCTGTATTATCATATGACATGTACTTCATCTGTAGCTCCTCATGTACAAATTTGCTCCATGATTTTCCAATTTCTTATGCCTGTCGACAGTTATTGTGCTCAAACATTAAATTTCTAAAACGATTAAGGTAACAGAAGATTAATTAGCACTGTCATATACATAGAATGTGACCTTTTCTGCATTTTTATTGCCCAAGTCTACTGCAAACTTGATGGAGTTGCGTTTGTCATTCCGATTTATTGGCCAGTAATGTATTGTTGGCAGCAAACTCCTTGTGAAGAGATCATAGTAGTCCCAAAGCTTCAGTTCCTAAATTTGCCTAAAGTTGAGATTCCAACAGTGGCCAAGTCTAAGATTCCATCTTCACCTAATCCTCAGATCTCAAATTTGTCTATAACATAACTTCCTCCCCTAAAAAAGCCTTAGGTTTCTGCAATTCCAAATACTTATGTTCCTGCCCCTCATTTTGTGAATTCTTACACTTTCATTTAACATACAACATATTCCACTTTTCTTTGGGATCGTATTTGCAATATTAAAGTTGCAGTTACCACACATTGCTTGTAAATCCTGCTTAACTTAAAGAATTCCTCATCATAATTGCATTATTGGGTTCTAACAAACTACTTGTGAGCTTTAACCGTAAAATTTCATTATAAGGTTCAAATTAAGTGCAACGAATCAACTTTCAAACTTTGCCAAAGAATTTCAGCAACAATCAGTGTAACTAATAAGATTCAACTTAGGCCTCCAAAGCTGCTATCTGGGGATCTTTTAACTAATGTTTCATACTCTCAATCTTCATCTCGCAGAATATTTTTTCCCAGAGATCTTTCCTCAGCAGCTTAATTTCTTGTTCCCTGCATAAAAAAGTTGCATCACATGAAGAGAGTAAATATCGGCGAGTATTTACTTGCAAAATAATGTATCAAACCGATCCAAAAAGCCTGATCTCACCTCAATGTGACCTACTGAAAAATTACAACTGTATCGAACGGTCATATATTCAGTCAATTGAATCAATCGCAATAGTTTTATTGCCGTAAGATTTTGTTTCAAGGGATCCAAGACTCAACAAAATTCATGCACTGCTCTCTTTCACTAAAACTTCTCGTCTGCCACGGATTAGCCTTTCACAAACTCATCATTGTACAACGGTCAAAATAGTTCCAAAATCAAGCAGATGGCAGTATCACCAACCTGTAACCGATGGTTGAGTTCCAAGAAATAGTACTCTCCAGTATCCATACTATAAAGATACTCAACAGTGGCAGCTCCAACGTAATTGACACTTATGGCCAGTCTTCTAGCAGCCTGCTCAAGTTTTTTCATCGTATCTTGTGGAGCTACTGTAATTGGGCCCTCTTCAATTATCTAAGTTCAAGAAAATTAGATACATTAGTGATGATATTCCACTGATGCAAATGCGGCTGCCTCATGAAGGCTCTCTAGTTGCTTCAACATTGCAAATAGAAGATAAGTGTTGTCTTTCAACTCATTACTAAACAATAATAAAAAATTATATATAAACTAAGCTTTCCAGGTAACTATGTTGATTTTGGCATTGACCATTTCACACCCAATATATTCAGGAACATGTTCCATAATTCTTCAGTCACTTCACAGTGAAGGAATATGTGGTTATTTCCCTCCACTTTCCTTTTCCCACAAGTAAACACATGTTGCACAGTTGTATCCTCTCCTTTGCTAACCTCCTGGGATGCCATCCATGAAAAACATATGACCTTGTAGGGAGCATTTGTGTTCCAAATCTTTTCATCGCCTCTGCCTCAATTGTGTATTTGTTAGTGTTAGGGCCTTGTAACAGGATTTGGCAAGGGAAGCTTCCACCCTGAACTTGCTTGAATAGTGCCCTATGAATTTCAGCTATATATTAAGAAAATAATAAATAAAATATTTAGAAATAGAAATCCATCACGTCACCTCTCAGAAACTCTCGCTACTTATTGAGATATCATGGACTTGGCCATACTGATCGCTCTTTGAGATCCTGTAATAGTTACTTTCCTGCAAAAGTCGGGAAGTTTTTTAAAATATTTGTATGCTATCTATATATTCCATAATGAACATGCGAACACAATAAACAAAATGAGAAAATCTTACCTGTCTGAAGTACCTGAAATGAAATCACCCCTATCTGATATCTTCATTAGCAAATCAATGTTTGTCTACAATCTATCTATAATTAAAAGCCAAATACAAATACTAAATGTCGTCACAAAGTTAGTATTTTTCTTGAATAGGAATGTTCTCTTCTGCAGAAACACTAACACAAAAGAATAATTCTTAAATTCCTCTTCAGTGGGATCTATTCAAACAGTGATATGAGCAGAATATTTGTAATCGATACAGCAATTAGGAGGAGTAAAACAAACTTCTGTCCAATTGCGAAATCTAGTCGATACAGCAATTAGGAGGAGTAAAATTTCAAATATATAT